CTGCAGACACTGCTGCTGCACACAAATGGGGCCATAGAGGTGCAGCAGCAGGAGCAGCAGCAGAAGGTGTTGCTGCTGGTGAGGCAGCAGCGCCTCGGTCCTTGCCTGCTGTCTTCTCTCCACCACATATGGGCAGCAGCGGAGCATCAGACACAGCAGCAGCAGCAGCAGCAGGTGTATCCGTGTCTCCTCTTGCTGTCGCTTCTGCGCTACCACCTGATGAATCCTTAAAGTTGCCTCCCTCTTCTGCTGCTGCATTAGATGAGTTGCGCCGCAGGCCGCAGAGGCAGCAGCAGCAGCAAAGGCAGCAGCAGCAGCAGCAAGAGCAGCAGCAGGAACAGCAGCAGCAGCAATTCGGCTTCGACAGTGTCGTAAATGCCCCCAGCTTCATCCGTCCTGAAGCAACAGCAGCAGCAGCAGCTGCTGCTGCTGCTCCAAGTACTGTGAGGCGCGTGAGGAGGAACTATATCGAGCAGCAGCAGGTGCTGCTGCAGCAGCAACAGCAGCAGCAGCAGCAGCAACTTGATGTTGAGGTAGGCAGCGACTTTGGTCTATCTGCTCTTTCTCTTGTAGACAGCGCGGGGTCTTGCGTTGATGGAGGAGGCCTGTCGCTGCCTGCTGCTGCTGCTGCTGCACCAACTGGAGCAGCAGCAGCAGCCCTCCAAACAGCTCGTGGTCTTGCTGCTGCTCTACCCACACCATCTACCTCTTGCTCGGGTGGATCTTCATCAAGCTTCCAAGGGCAGATCGCCAGCAAGCAGCAGCTGCTGCAGCAGCAGCTGCAGCAGATGCAGCAGCAGCAGCAAGGTAACCATTGGTTACTTGAGCAGCTGCTGAATATGCAGAAGGAAATTGATTTCCTTCGTGCTGAGCTAAGGCTGAAAGAAGCAGCACAAAACAGCAGCAGCAACAGCAGCAGCTGCTGCAGCAACTGCAACAGCAGCAACTGCAACAGCAGCAACTGCAACGGCAGTACAGCCAACAGCAGCAGCAACAATGGCAACAGCATTAAACCCAGCGAAAATAACAGCAGCAGCAACAGCAACAGCAACAGCAGCAGCGGCAGCAACAGCAAGAGCAGCAACAGTGGCAAGGTGGAGCCAGGTTGCCGCAACCTTAACGGCCCTGCTGCTGCAGTAGTGGAGGCAGCAGCAGCAGCTGCTGCAGCAGCAGCAGCTGCAGCATCTGCAGCAAGTACTCCAAGCGAGAAGAATGCAGGCAAATCAGCAAGATCATTAACACTAAAGCGAGGCAATCGTGTTGCTCACAGCAGCAACAGCAGCAACAGCAGCAACAGCAGCAGCGGCAGCAGCAGCAGCAGCAGCAGCTTACCTGTCCAACAGAATGGAAACAATTCTCTTTCTGGGCAACCCACGGACGTGTCCATCGAAGTAAGTCTTGCTGCTATTGCTGCTGTTTGCTGCTCGCGCTGCTGCTTGCTGCTGCTGCTGCTGCAGCTGCTTGTTAGTGTTGGCTCCTGCTTGGGGCCACGCAGCTGCCAATCCCTTTTTGTTGCTGCTGGCTGTTTGTGTGCTTTGTCGTTGTCTTTGTTGCTGTCGTCGTTGTTGCTGCTATTGCTGCTGCTGCTGCTGCTGCAGTTGCTGCTGCTTGTGTCTGTTTGGGTGTATGTACAGCCCCCACGGCCTTCAACTGCAACACGGCCGTCACTTCGTGGTTGGCTATAAGGGTTTGTTTGTTGTTTTGCTTCTCCGGTTGAGGTGCTTCCTGCCGGGTAGTAGTAGCTGCTGCTGCTGCTGCTGCAGTTGCTGCTGCAACAACAACAACAGCAGCAGCAGCAGCAGCAGGATCGGCGGCAGTAGCAGCAGCAGGAACGATAATAGCAGCAACAGTAGGAGCGGCAGTAGCAGCAGATGCGAGCACAAACCGTTCCAATGGATGCAGCAGCAATGCAGCAGCACACCAGCAGCAGCAGGAGCAACAGCAGCAGCAGCCGGTGGAGCACTTGTGCGGTAATGAGGGCCTAGCTGCGGATTTTTTGCATCTGCTCTAGTAGTAGCAGCAGCAGCAGCAGCAATAGCAGTAGCAGCAGCAGCAGCAGCAACAGCAGCAAGAGCCGCAGCAGATGCCGCAGCAGCAAGAGGCGAATAGACAGCCTCAGAGGGTAATCGTTTCAGGTTGCTGCGGGAGCAGCAAACAGCCAGGGACATGCAGCAGCAGCAGCGCAGCAGCAGAAGCAGCAGAAGCAGAAGCAGCAGTAGTATAAGCAGCAGAAGCAGAAGCAGCAGCAGCAGAAGCAGCAGCAGAAGCAGCAGCAGCTGCAACAGCAGCAGCAGCAGCAGCAGCAGGTGCCCGCTTTGTTAAGAGTGTAGCACTTAACTTGTCGGGATAAAGTGACAGGAGAGCACGCCGCAGCAGCGGAAGCAGCAGCAACAGCAGCAGCAGCCGCTGCAGCAGAAGCAGCAGCAGCGGCAGCAGCAGCCGCTAGTGCTGCTGCAGCAGCAGCAGCAGCAGCACGTTTGGTGTTTCATATACATTAAATTGGCTTGCCACTTTCATTTCCTTGTTTGCACTTATCTTTTGCATGCAAACCTTTGGGGCTGCATGCGCTAATTATGCATGCAGTAGGCCTCTAGTGTGGCCATATGCCTTAACATCAATTTCTCTTTCTTTGCATGCATGCATGCATGCGTGCATGCATGCGTGCATGCATGCGTGCATGCATAAGACGTGCAGACATGCATGCGGGTGCGCCAGCATTCAGATGTGTATGCATGCATGCATGCAATAAAATGCATGCATGCATGTACTTTGGGGCTGTGACCAGGTGGTTTCTGCTATGCATGCGGATGCATTGGTGTTGCTGATGTTGTGTATATTTACCATCTACATGCACAACAGATGCACATCTAGAGCAGCAGCAGCAGCAGCAGCAGCAAGTGCAGCAGCAGCTGCAGCAGAGGCGGCGGCGGCAGTGGCAGTAGCGCAGCAGAGGCGGCAGCAATTGTTGCTGAGGCCGTTTTGTTTCCTTCGAAGCCACAGATCGCGCCCTGCTCCAGCAGCAGCAGCAGCAGGTGCTGCTGCTGCGGCGGCAACTGTACTGCAGCAGCAGCAGAAGCAGCAACTGTATCAACAGCCACAGCAACTGTAGCAGTAGCAGCAGCAGCAGCAAAAAAAAAAAGAGCAGAGAGGTGCGGAGTCGGCGGTCTAAGTCGCCCGCCGCCTCCCACGAGGGTTTAGTGCTTAGGGTTTAGGGTTTAGGGTTTAGGGTTTGGGGGATTCGCGTTAGCTGCTAATAGCACGCGCAAGAATATCTCCTCTATTTGCATGCATGTGCATGCATACACACTACTTATTTGCGTGCATGCAAACGCATGCATGCATGCATTTGCATACATGCAAGCACGTTTTTGCATGCATGCAAATGGATATTTATTTTTGCATGCATTTCTTCATGCATGCAGTCTATGCATGCATGCAGTACATTTTTTGCATGCATGTGTGCATGGATGGATGCATGCATGCGCTTCTTTGCATGCATACATTTTTACATGCCTTCTTTCTTTGCATGCATAAATTAATTTGCATGCATTAATTATTTATGTGCATGCATATATCCATTTTTGCATGCATGCATGCATGCAATGTGTTTGCATGCATGCATTCGTTCATCTATTTACATGCATGCATGCATGCATGCAATTTGTTTGCATGCATGCACCATCATCATCCATTAGCATTTATCCATCTATTTACATGCATGCATGCATGCATGCGTGCACGCATCTGCATGCATATTTATCTGCATACAGATGCATGCATGCATGCATGCATGCATGCATGCATGCATGCATGCATGCATGCATGCATGTTCCCATCCATTTACACCATACATGTATTTACATTAATTGTATATATGCATGCATGCACTAATTTGCATGCGCCTGCGCATATACACCTGCATGCATGCATGCATATAATATTGATAGGAGAGAGGCGTAGAGGGGATAAAAATATTTATTTACTTATTTATATTGTGTGTTTTTCTTCTCTTTTTCTCCTTTTGTGTCTCCTTTTGTGTCTCCTTCGCCCCTCCTTATTCTTTTTAATTAGTATATTAATAAACAATAAGCTTTGCAGTTCTTGCTGCTGCTGCAATATACTTGTTGCTGCTGTTGTTGTTCCTGCTGCTGCTGCTGCTGCTGCAGCTGCTGTTGTTGCGCTATCTTCTTGCTGCTTAGTTGCTGCTGCTGCTGCTGCTGCTGCTGGTAGCATGCTGCTGCCTATTTATTTGCTGTTGCTGCTGTTCCAGCTGCTGCTGCTTCTGTTGCTGCTGCTGCTGCTCAAGGATAAACCCCACAATATTAATTGCCTGTATACATAAAACGTAGTTGGGGTGTATAGGCAGCTACAGCTTTGTAAAAAAAGGGAAACAAAAAGCCCCAAACTTCATCATATCCCTCCCGTTTCTTCGCGAGGGAAGAGAGCACTTGCATGCATGCATGCATGCAGGCATGCATGCATGCCATACGCATGCTTGCGCATGTAAATGATTTACCTGCATGCAATTATGCATGCATTAAAATTATATCTTGCATGCACGCCGTTCTGCATGCATGCATGTATGCAGCACGCATGCACCTGATTGTGGGCAAGAGCAGCATACATGTACCTGATTGCACTTTGCATGCATGCATGCATGCATGCATGCAAAGTGCATGCAATATGCCTGCATGCATGCAATATGCCTGCACGCATGCAATATGCCTATATGCATGCAATGTGCATGCATGCAATATGCCTATATGCATGCAATGTGCATGCATGCAATATGCATATATGCATGCAATGTACATGCATGCATGCATGCATGCAATATGCATGCACCTGTATAAATGCATGCATGTATACATACACCTAACGAAGGAAATGGCATTAGCCACGTATGCATGCATGCATGCATGCAAATGCGCACGCATGCAGCACATGAGATGTATGTACACTCTTGGGGCCAGTGCTGCTGCTGCTGCTGCTGCTGCTGCAGTAAGAATTGAAAAGGGAGAAAAGCTCCTAAATATAAATAGAGGGAAAGAAGCAGCCATAAGAAAAACAAACAAAAACAACGCCTTCTTCAGGGGAATAACCTTAGCTGTATAGACACCGCAGCATGCATGCATGCATGCATGCATACATACATACATACATACATGCATACATACATACATACATACATACATACATACATACATACGTACTTACATACATACATACATACATACATACATACATACATACATACATACATACATAGATGCATACATAGATGCATGCATGCATGCATGCATGCATGCATGCATGCACCCCACACTCCTGTGCAGGGCGGACCAATATACGATTTATACACCGCATGCAATAATAGTTGAGGTGTATAGGCACCTCCTCTTTATCTGCGGTGTATAGGCGCCTTTATTAAGCTGCATATACACCTTAATAAAGGTGCCTATACACCGTAGATAAAGGAGACTTATTTATAACATAAAGGCGACTGAATATATACATAATCCATAGGGACTACTACACCTGTTGCTGCTGCTGCCCTTGCTGCTGCTGCTGCTGCTGCTTTTGTTGCTGCTGCTGCTGCTGCTTTTGCTGCTGCTGCTGCTGCTGCTTTTGCTGCTGCTGCTGCTGCTGCTTTTGCTGCTGCTGCTACTGCATATATTTTACTTCCTGTGCTACATTACTTCTTTTTCTGCTGCAGCGGCGAGCTTCCCTGCTCCTGCAGCTACTCGCCTTTCTTCTGCTGCAGCTCTGACTGCATCTGCTGCTGCTGCTGCTGCTGTTGCTGCAGCAGATGGCACCAGGGTGTGCTTGCTTTTCTTATGGCAACAGCATCTGCTGCTGCTGTTGCTGCCGGTTTTGCTGCAGCTGTTGATGCTCCTCTTCGTGGAGCTGCTGCTGCGCGATTGCTGCACCTGCTGCACCTCTTGGTGCTGCTGCTGCTGCTGCTGCCCATTTCTTCATATATTTAGTAGAAAGGGACATTAGCAATGAGGCTGGCGCTGTGTGTTTTGTCTGTTGCTGCTGTTGCTGCTGTTGCTGCAGTTGCTGCTGCACCTGCTGCTGCTGCAGCTGCTGCAGCACCTCCAGCAGTTTTCTCCGACAGCAGCAGCAGCAGCTGCTGCAGCAGCTCTGTTGTATTGTCGTTACTTGGTGAGCCAATAGCTGAGCTTGGCTGCATCACCTGCAGCAGCAGCAAGCACACACGCAGCAAATCCATGCATGCATACATGAATGCATGCGTACATGTATATACGCATGCATGCACAAAGAAAATGCATGCATGCATGCATTGTGTTTTGGGGCTTCGTGTGCCTAAATATACCTGTAAAGAATTCCTGATGGGAGCAGGTTGCTGCATTTGCTGAGGGGGTATTTGCTGCTGCTGCTGCTGCTGCTGCTGCTGCTGCTGTTGGGTCTGCATTTGCTGTATCGGTTGCTGCTGCAGCGGCTGTTGCTGTTGCTGCTGTTGCTGCTGCTGCTGCCTCTGGCTAGCTGCTCCTTCCCCTAATGCCTGCTGCATAAGAGCAGTTGCGAATTCAAGGAGGTCAGGGTTTGCTTGAATACGGTCAAGTTTTGTATTTGCTGCTGCTGCTGCTGCTGGTGGTGTTGTTGTTGTTGCTGCTGCTGTTGTTGTTGGTAAACCTAAAGGAGGCTGTTGCAGGGATAAGACAGAATGCTGCTGCTGCTGCTGCTGCAGCTGCTGCGGTTGCTGGGGCTGCTGGGTATGTGGTGGTGGTTGCTGCAGCAGCAGCTCGCCAGGGTCGGTCTTGGGCAGAAATGATAAAGCGGCGCCTCCACCGCTGCTGCTGCTGCAGCTGCTGCTGCTGCTGCTGCTGTCAACAAGGCTTGAATAGCGATGAGGGTTGCTGCTTGTTAATACATCCCCAAAGGAACTCTGAGTCGCTGCCTGCAGAGACATAACTACACCCCCTAAACCCTAAACCCTAAACCCTAAACCCTAAACCCTAAACCCTAAACCCTAAACCCTTGCTTAGCAACACCAGCAATTACCTCGTTAGGGTTTCAGTGGGTATAGTCTAGTAGACAGGGTATAGGGTTTACAGCAGTTTGCATGCCATATGCATAATTTTAGGGTTTAGGGCTTAGGGTTCAGGGTTCAGGGTTCAGGGTTTAGGGTTTAGGGTTCGGGCTGTCGTACCCCTAAGCCGACGAGCCTGTCTTGTTGGTTCTCTGCTGTTTCGTCCTCCTCTACAGGGCCTATGTAGCTCTGTTGCTGCAGCTGCTGCTGCAGTTGCTGTTGCTGCTGCTCGTTGCTGCTGCAGATCCAGCTAGCTTTTTGCTGCTGCTGCTGCTGCTGCTGCAGCAGCATCATCTGCTGCTTCTCCGTAGAGGCAAGAAGGAAGGAAGTCTCTAGTTGCTGCCTTCGTTGTCTTTCTTGTTTTAGCTGCTCCTGCTGCAGCAGCTGCTGCTGCTCCTGCTGCAGCATCAGGTGCTGCTGCGGCTGCTCTTCATCTTGCTGCTGCTGCTGCTGCTGCATATTTGCTGCACCCTGCAGCAAGAGGCTAGCTAGCTGGAACCTTTGCTGCATTAGCTGCGAGCCTCTGAGGTCGTTGCTACCTTGCTGCTGCTGTTGCTGCTGCTGCTGCGGCTGCTGCTGTGGCATGTGCAGTTGTTGTTGCTGTTGCTGCTGCTGCTGCAGTGGCCGCTGCTGCTGCTGCGGAGACATTGTAGGTGTTAGCTTCAGCTGCTGGAAGGCAGCAGCAGTCTCGTGCTGCTGCAGCATCCAACTAGTTGAGTCTGGTAAGGAATTGGGGGCCTCAAGCCAGCTTGGTTCATGCTGCTGCTGCTGCTGCTGCTGTTGCTGCTGCTGCTGTTGTTGTTGCTGCTGCATCAAGGAACACAGCATTCCTAATGGACCTAACTGCTCCGTGCTGCTTGCTGCTGCTGTTGCTGCTGCTACCTCCCCTATTTGCTGCTGCAGTGTCTGAGCTTGTAGGGGCGTTTTCTCTGACTTAGGTGTAGGGAGGCGCCGCAGGTATGGTTGCTGCTGCTGCTGTTGCTGCTGCTGTTGCTGCTGCTGCTGCTGTGGCTGTGGCTGTGGCTGCTGTTGATGCTGCTGCTGCTGCTGCTGCGCAGTGTTGGAAGGCTGGGCAGTCACTCGGCCTGCCCTCAAGTCCTGCAGCAGCAAGAGAAGAAGCAGCAGCAACAGCACCAGCCACTACAGCAGCAGCATTGGTTACACCCCCAGCAGCAGCAACAACTGCTGTTGCTGCTGTTGCTGCACCGCTATGCTTCTTCTACAGCACCATCTGTCTCCCCATGCTTACCTTTCGTCTCTACAGCTGTTTAACGAATCACGATCTCGGGTTTAGGGTTTAGGGTTTAGGGTTTAGGGTTTAGGGTTTAGGGTTTAGGGTTTAGGGTTTACCTGTCTAAGCTTAAGAGCAACAAGCTGCTGCAATTCCTCCAATGAGGGTTGGGAGGGCGTAGCAACAAAAGCCTCAAAGGAGGCAGGGGAGATGCACTGGGATCCGATCCCCGTGAGGGGGGGCCCCCTGTGGGGTGTGGGGGCCCCTCCTCTTGTTCTAAAGGAACCTAGAGGTGTATCTCCTGCTGCTGCTGCTGCTGCTGCTGCAGCTGCTGCTGCTGATGCTGTTGCTGTTGATGGACTTGATCGTGTATGCAGCAACAATTCATGAGGAGATGTCCCTGTTAATTCTGCTGGGCAGCTAAGACTAGATATATATGGATGGCATAATGAGCTGCTGCTGCTGCTGCTGCTGCTGCTGCTGCTGCTGCTGCCAAAGCTGCTTGAGTGCATAGGAGGACCACCGGTCGCTCCCGCCATTAAACCTGTCTTCTTAAACTGCACCTTTAACGTAAAGCCCATCACCTGCAGCAGCAGCAGCAGCAGCAGCAGCAGCAGCAAGAGCAGCAAGAGCAGAAAGAGCAGCAGCAAGTGCAGCAGCAACAGCCACAGCACAGCAGCAAAAATATTCAATGCAGCAACATCATATAGAGCTACAAAGTGCAGCAGCAGCAGCAGCGACAATCCCAGCAGCTGAATTGTCTGCAGCAGCTAATGCTGCAGCAGCAACAGCTCGTGCAGCAGCAGCAGCAGCAGAAATAAATAAACTTGCTAATCGGTGCATCTCCATCATGCCTCTTCGTGTTGCAGCAGCAGCAGCAGCTGCAGCTGCTGCATTGACCTGCTGCTGCAGTAAAGTTGTTAGGTGTCCCCTCGTAGCAGTAACCCTAAACCCTAAACCCTAAACCCTAAACCCTTTGTCCCTTCCTTTCTCCAACTCCTCCATTCCCCACAAAAACCCTAAGAGCAGCAGCAGCAGCAGGAGGAGGAACAGCAACAACAGAAGCAGAAACAGCAGCAGCAGCAGCAGCAGCAGCACAGCGTAGGGTCACCTGCAGCAGCCGCCGTTTCTCCACAACCTCAAAGGCAGCATCAAGAGTACTCAGCTGCACAAAGGCGTGCTTCTCATGGTACTCTACCTGCAGCAGCAGCAGCAGCAGCAGCAGCAGCAGCAGCAACAGCAACAGCAGCAGCAGCAGCAGGTCCATACATTCCCTACATACCCCGTCGTAAGCAGCCTCTGTATAGCAACACTATAAATAAATACATCAATAAATACATCAAAAAATCCGCAGCAGCAGCAGCAGCAACAGCAGCAACAGCAACAGCAGCCGCAGCAGCAGCTTACATTCTCTACGTGTCCTCTAGTAAGTAACCTTCGTACAGCAGCACTAAGTAATTGTGCATTGCATGCAGGTGGTAAATTAGATAAATATATACATCAAAAAAACCGCAGCAGCAGCAGCAGCAGCAGCAGCAGCAGGAGCAGCAGCAGGAGAAGCAGCTTACATTCTCTACATGACCCCTAGTAAGTAGCCTCTGTATAGCAGCACTAAGTAATTGTGCATTGCATGCAGGAGGTAAATTAGATAAATATATACTTCTACCGAAGGCTGAGTCCGGTCTTGCTCCTTCCTCATGGGGCCCTACCCG